TAGTGGCCACGGGTTGCCATCTCCCCTGATAAACGAAAGGGCAATAAAAAGGGGAGTGTTCAGAAGGAACATGTGGGAAGTGCAGCTGACTGTTGGGCGTACAGCGCCACTATGCTCAGCGCTCTGAGAATGTGATACACCCTCTGTCCAGGACACCCAGGCTGCCTAAGGCTTTGTGGGTGCTTCCTTGCTCTTCTTACTAGGTAGGTGAGTCCCCACATTACAATGGGTCACTGTCCAACAACTCTGTCATAAGGCAATTCTGACATAAGTTAAAGACCTCTTTTTTTAGGTTTTCATTATTGCCATTTATTATTAGTATCTTTGTAAATCTCATCTTTATTTGTCTTTGAGGATTGGAAACATTACCTGTAAGCATCTGTGAGTGAGCATCTGAGAATGACAGCATCAGCAAATTACAGGCTGCAACACTGTACGTGGTCCATATTACTAATGATACAGTGTACCCAAAACAAAAACAGACATTGTAAGTGCAGTGTCATAACTCAGATACATCGTAAGTCAGGGACTTCCTGTACATTCTGCTTCCTGACCTCCTTTGTAACTTCAGCCACCACCTGCCTGCACATCTCTGACTTGGAAACCCTCTTTTGAAGTTAGGTTTTGAACTGCCTTCTGAACATTTGCACTTAATATCTTGCAGCTACCTGGAACTCAGACTATACAAAACAACTCTTCATCTTGTGCTTATCTTCCTGTATTTTCTCCATCTTGGTAAATAGCACTGACCTCCCTCACCACATGTCCACACTGGGAACCTTGAAGTCACCTTAGAAACCCTGCCCTATCATCACCCCCCTGGTCCTAGCTATTCTGCCTCCTGAAGAGATCTCAGATAAGACCTTTTAATTACCCCATTCCTTGCTTTGGTTCTTTAATATCCAAGGGGCTTTAGTGTGGGGAAAGGAACACCCCCAACTATTTATACCTTAATGGTTAAGTTTATTAAGCATAACTAATAAATACAATTTTGAAAGTAGTTTTTTGTAACATTTACTACTAATTACAAACTAAAATTCCTTTAAACATTTTAAATTAAAATTAATTTACTAGCACTGAGTGTTTTAAACATAACACAGTAGAGAAAATACACAAAAGCATTTATTAGAAAACATATTTAAAAATATATTAAAACATTTTCATTATGGGTTCAATTTCTTCTTTTTGCCCCTTTACCTTCATGTTGTTGTTGTTGTTAAGTGCCGTCGAGTTATTTC